TTTTTGCATTGGCTTGCACGTGGTTTTGAGTGACTAATTCTTTATTATTTAGCTCATGTGGTTCCATTTTTATTTATTCCCCATGTGTTTGTATGTGTGCATTTAAATGTCAGATAAGCAGAGTGGAGTGCACCGAGTGAGGAAGAGAAGCAGACACAGAGGTACACGTCTGTCTGGATGACAGTCTGCTGAGCTCTCACAGCTTACTGGGTCAGATTAAAGTAGTCACTCTTGCTTCATTTTACAGCTACTTCAGAGATTCATGTCCTCCCATCAAAAGCCTTGCACTGCTCAGGGGTTGGACTGTAACTGTGCTAGATTGGTAGAAGTGTTCAATGCTTTTGTTTATAACAGAGGGAGGCAGCTGCATGACTCTTCAGTGGCGGGCAGGACTAACCTTTGTAGCATTTTTCCTTAACTGGTCATATTGCACTTCATATGGTAATTTTCTATCTTCTGTAACATTAGTGTAAAAGGCCAAATAGTTTGCTGCAGCTGTTGTTAGTTTCCAAAAGGATGAGCTGACTGTGTGTGTTTGTGTCTTGAGACAATGAAATGCAGTATAAAAGCATTTCCTACATCTAGTAGAATGCAGTGAAGACATCTTTCGGACTGCTTTCTTTACACCAATTTATTTCTGTCTTTCTGTGTATTATCAATCTGTATGTTTCCAGTCCAACCAGAACTCCCAGTGCCTATGTTCAGGAGGAGACAGAGGAAAAAAGCAGGATCCAGAGGATCTGAGTATCTGGGGAAAATGCGAGCAGCTTCTCTGGGCCTTGGTGGGCTGCTGGCTTTAGATATCTTAGTTTGCTTTACTTTGTGGTGACCTTAGAACTGGCTAAACAATACCTTCAAGCTGGCCATTGCTATAAAGCCATAAACATTATTTTCACTTTAAACAACCAGTTAATTTTCTTTGTTGTTCCACAAAAAACTGACATGGTAACCTCAGTCATCAGTTGATACAACTTTGAAGCTTTTGTTCAACGAGTAAACACTTCTGCATACTGCATAGTTTCCCTGCATGGTAGCTGTTGTCACAGTGGTGCATTTTTCTTCCGCTGAGCTTCAACTCTGCCCCTGTGTCCTTTTGCTGCACTGTACATGAAAATGTGTCGCTTTTGTGGATCAGAATCTGGCTTTTCATCGGCCATTAGCCCTGATTGCAATATTAGGTGAAAGTTGCATTCTGTGCAGCTGAACTGGAGTTCAGTCTGTCATTGATGTAGAGCAAAGTTCCATGCCAAGTAAAGTTGTTGCTTCGCTGCAGCCTGAGGCTGAGATTAGCTTCAAATAGCATTTGTGGTGGATGACAGTTGATGGAGCTGTGCAAATAGCTTGTGCATTAAGTGCAGCTGCTACTGGATGAACTGCTCTGTTAATGGACTGATCGCTTCATGGTGTATACGACAGAGGTCTTCCATGTAACGGACTGGAGTGGTGTAACTCTTGTTTTATTTTTGTGTAACATCAGATGAAAAACCTGGAGATGAGGCCAGGAGAGGAGCTAAGAAAGGTATTGTCCTGCAGCCATATGCATGAAGCTGTGCTGTGTTGCAGTGTGGACGACACTAATGGGTCAAGTTTGACATACTCACAACTGATTGCGGTCCAGCTGAGTGTGTTTTTATTTGATAAACAAACTAAAAGCCGGCAGATGTGTTTTGTAAATAAACTGCTGTTTTTATAGATGAAGTTATGAGCTATTATCTAGTTTTCTAACAGTTGGTTTATGGAGATTTAAAGATAATGAGACTAGATCTGTGCCTGTGTTTGATGAGTGAAACTTGTATTAAACCTGTGAAATCTATGAGATTAACTTGACTTTAGCACATTTTTAAGAAACAGGTGTAAATACCTGTTTAGACTCAGTATATCAAATCAGTCTTGTCTCCAAAGTCTGCGAACTGCTCGGAGGAGGCGGTAAGAGCAGTATGACATGGGGGTGCTCTGGCTGTGGATAAAAATGTTCCTAATTCATCCGCTGGTGTGCACATACCTGCCTGCAGTGTGGTGATGTCCAGTAACAGAGTGAATCTGAGCATGGCCCCTCATCCAATAATTATTTTGTGGTGAAACACCAAACTATGTTGTTGATCATCCATCTCAGAAACCTCTACAACTAAAGACGTAGGCTGGAAGCTTCGGGAAGCTCTGAAGCAGCAGCTGGCCATCATCCATGAACGAGTGGAGGCCAAGAAGCTCGCTAAGCTGGCTCTGGCCGAAGTCAGGCAGCTCCTGGCCAAAGAGGAGGAGGAGAAGGAGCTGGAGCTGGGCAGGAAGGAAATAACAGCCAGGGTGAAGGAGAGAGTGGCCACCAGGCTGAAGGAGGAGGAAGAAAAGATGGAGAAAGAAGAGATGGAGAAGGCTCTGGAGAAACTACACAAGGAAAAGGCAAAACAACCGGATGAGAAAAAAGAAGAAACGAGCAAGGAGGAGAAGGCAGGGGACAAGAAATCGAAGAAAGGAGGGGAGAAAGAGGAGAAGTCAGAGAAAAAAGGGGAGGGAGAGGGAAAGAAAGGACAGGAAGAGGACATGGAGAAAGGAAGAGAGTCTGCCAGAGAGAAAAGAAAGAAAAATAAAGCTGAGAAATCTGACAGAGGAGGCAAGAAATGAAGTCTGAGGTGATGAGTTTTCAAAGGAATATATTGATCGTATAGGAAGCCAGCGTCAACCATTCTAGACAATAGGGCCCAGGAAGGAATGGTGTGCTGGCACATTCTGGTCAGTGCCAAGAATCAAAAACCAAATTAAATGTTTGTCAGACTCAAAATCACAAAAAAAAAGTATTTCTGATTTTGAACAAGAATTTTGCCAATTTTACAAAAATCTACTTTTTGAGGAGTTTGGCTTCATTTGTCTGATGTCGCTTAAAAAGGAATTTGTAGAAAACAATACTTTGATTTGAAATGATACCCAGCCCTATTTGGCCTCTGTGTATATCTGCATACTGACCAGTCCACAAGTTTGTCGCCAATGAAAAAATATTTCGCAAAATTAAAATAGAAAAATGTCAACAAATTTGTTGATTAGAAGCATAACAACAGCAGCAGCGGGGGGAAAGTAATTTTCTTGTCTGTTTGATGAATTTAATATATTATGTGTCATATTTACTAGTTTTAAAAACTGCTCCATGTCCTGGAGCGAGCTAGCTGCTTCTATGTTCCTGTTACTATCAAAGGTAAGACTCTTTAGGGGCTGCAGCAACCTAAAAGAAACCAGATTGTGTCGTATAGTGCAGCTACACCTTTGGTTGATGCAGTAACCAGCTGGGAGTCCTTGTATGGCCTCGACATGAAGCCAGCCTCATTTTTTCAAACAATTTTTGTCATTTCACTTAAAGGATGAGAGAACAATGGGTAAAATGGAAGAGTTGCACAGAAACTACAGGGAATAGAAAAAATGATGCTGTGAAGCGTTGATATTAAGTGTGATGTACTTTTCTGTTCATGATGCTCGTATTTAGAGTTGATTAAATGGCAGTTACTGGGCTACCGTTTACACCCCCAGTGTTGGAAACTTGTGACAAAATGTGAGTTTTTCTAAAATAAGGAGATTTATGTTTCACGATGACAAATGTGTTGTTTTCTTTTGTCAATAAAGTTTCTGGATCATTGTAGGTGCTCTTCATTCAAGTGTAAAAACAAATGTTTATGGGTCTATCTGATGTTTGCTCCAAGAATGACTGAAAGAATCCACAAATGAAGCTTCCTCTACATACATACAGCCTTTTGTGTTTTCCATTTAGCTGTATAGCCTTTTTGCTACTAGTCCGATGGTGAGTCTTGACAACTTCAGCATCTGAATTGGTTGAACGTCACATCAAGAACGTGTCAGCAAAAAAAAACAATGAACCAAAGCAAAACTTAAATTGTGTTCAAGCAAATGAAACAAATCCTAAACATGTTGAACCAAAGACTTTTCCATTGTGGTTATGTGACACCACAGAATATTTATTAATGATGAGTTAAAAACACATCAGAAAAAGTGCACAAAGAACAGGAAGGAGTGCACATTTTGAAGACAGGAAAAATCGTCTTGAAGATATCCATCTGAAAGTAGCACTTGGAAACAAAGCCAATCAGAAAACAAGTGTCACTTTCAGTCTGTTTGTGGAGGAGCGATGACATTGGGGAAAAATACATTCAGCTCACGGACAAACAAAAGACGCTCCTGTTAAGAAGTGCAGGTTTTGATGTTGGAGATGTATGTGATGGTAGTAATTGAACTTAAAGCAATATTAAATGAGCTTTGTTATAAAGCTGCAGTTTACAGAGTTTTTAAATAAGTATAAACAAATGGAGATACTGCAAATATGTATCTCAGTGCAGTCAGTAAAGAAGACTTTAAGTTAAATGAATGGATGTCTTGATTTTGATAATTATAGCATATGTGTACATTTACACTTTGTTGTTTTTTCATTATTTATCAGCCTAAGTGACTCAACTGCCAGTGTCAGTAACTCAACTAGGTGCTCTTATTACTTTTACTAAAAACAAAACAGGACTGTAACAAAGTAAACAAGAAAGTAAAGTGGAATTGGACTGGTTGTAAGAAGGGGGCAAAAACAGTTGGTTGTCCTGTGCATCTGTTAAAGTCAGCCAGGTTGTTTTCAAGTTTGGGCAGGAGCTGCACTAAACCTTGTATAAAATGATGTTGTAAAAGTATTTTCTGTCAGTTCAAGACAAACCAGAATATGCCCATGTTTGGTTCTGAAATAGCTGACTAAGGTTTAAAGTGCCAGCAAAGGAAACCCAAACCTTTTTCAGCAGTGTGATGCCAATTTGTGTGAATGATGTTATATGAAACATAACTTCATATCTGTGTATGCAATTGCCCACAAACCTGGCTTGTTATCTCTGTGTTTACAGTCACTGAGGGTGCACTGATAATGTGCTGATTCAGTGGCTACACACACACACACATACAGTACATACCCTGCCTCGACACTGTACACATCTATATCGTGCCAACAACCTGTGCATCATCTCATGTAGGACTCAAAGAGAAGGCTGTTGTCGTCACGTCTCGTAGCGAAGAAGCCGCTGCCCCAGTGGAGACCGTGGAGGCTGAACCAGAACCAGAAGGTAGGTGCACACTTTGTCTGCATAAACGTACTGCTAATAGGTAATGAGGCAAGAAGAAACACAGCTGCTGTGAAGTGACCGAGGGTTATAGTGTCACTACTTTTGCTGTAGGTCGTATTGTTATCAGAAACAGTACAACAGTCTGTGGTGAAAGTTTTAAAGCGCTGTGTGCACTTTGAACACATCTCAGTAAGAGAAATAGAACTGAAGTGCTCTTAAAATTAAATTTATTTTGCTAGCCATCTGAAGAACTTCATAAAGCGTGTATCTTTTAAAACTAAAACTAAGCATGGTTGAATAATAGTATAACTATTTGATCTATTTTTGTCTATTCCTCACAGTAGCTTACTATGTTTAAAAGTATAAAGAGTGAAGTATAAAAGAAATGATAAAAAATGAAACTGAATAAATATAATTAACTGAATATACTGAAAAAAACTTGAATCTGAAAGTTGGAATTAAGTCCCACTATATAGAACAATAATAATATTTTGTGAGCCCTTAACTGTCTCATAGTGTTTTGATTGATCATTAATATGTGTTATTGTAATTTTTGGGGAATTTTGAGTTCCTGGCTTTGAGAAATTGATGAAATAAGTGTCAGAATTTGAGCTTAAACAAGACGATGATTTATGTGGGATGAGGACAGTTTAACCAAGGGTCTTAAGAGAATAAAAATGAATCCACGCTAAGTTGGCAAAACTTGACCATAGAGAACCAGGACACCAGAAGGTAGAAAGTCAAACCTTTCTGTCCTAGAACAGCTGTATCCTAGGGGCACGTTTGTCATACATGCCTGCTTTTGAGGCATTTTTACTGTCATTGCAGGAAAACTGCATTTAAAATGTGGCGTCGCATCTGGTGTCAGCGAGAGTAGACATTATTTGTATGAAGACGGGTCGACTGTCATTTATGTGAATATGCACGAATCTATCAAAAGCAGATTGTGAGGCAGGTGTGGAGCTGAGTTTTTGTTTAGTGTTTAAATCATTCATTCAGAGTTTGATCCATGTTAGGCCTGTTTCTGGGGTTGTGAAAAAAGATTGTCTGACAAATAGATTCCTAATACAGGTTTAACCTGTATCACTTTATAGATGTGTATCGGGTTGATCACACTGCTGACTCATGAAGCTGTATTTAAAGTGGAATGTAATCAGTTAGACCTGTATTGATAAGTCTCAATGCCTACTTTCATAAAAGCAGTGCAGGTAAGTACGTAGTCAAGATTTAGTGAAATAAAAGTCTTTTTAATTTTAGAACTGAAGTCGCTTTGTTTTTGTTTGACATCATGCCCTTCTGTCCTTAGCTATTGTTGAACCCGACCCTGTCCCAGTGGAAGATGTTGTTGAAGCTGTTGTGGCAGAGGAAACAACTGCACCACCTCCAGGTACATCACTGTGTATATTTGTGAATGTCTCGGTGACTACTTTTTGTTATAAAGGAATGTTTTGTTGAATGTGAAAATCTACAGTCAGTCACATGATGCATGTTCTAAGCCTGAATAGCTGAAGAAGGTGTGTCTGTACTTCATAAAAATCAGTACGACTCATTGCTTCTTCCCTCTAGAGCCTGAACCTGAGGTAGAAGATGAGCCTGAGGTGGTCGCATCTGAGCCTGAACCAGAACCAGAACCTGAGGCTGAACCAGAACCAGAGCCTGTGGAGACAACTGAGGTTGGTACCGACCTGGTTATTGGTTATAAGACCATCTGAGAACTGTGTCCAATTGCAGAATCACGTTTTTCTTCATCCTTTTCAACTTCCCTGCTTAAAGTTGAAAAATTCTAATTTATGCAAGAAGCTTAATCTTTAGTTCATTTTCGGAGCCACATAAAGGTGCAGTTTGCAGGATTTTGAACACAAGTATAGCATTAATATAGCAGCAAAAAACATCCAGAGCAGAGCATAAATTCACTCTTTCTTTGTGTGTTCTCATGGGAGCTTCTCTGTTTCATGTTTTTATCATGCATGCATGTTTGTTTTTTGTTCTAATGCAGTCCCTACCTTTGAAACCGTATTTTTCTGCTGCTTCTCGTGCACACGTTTTGTCTGGTTGTACAGTAAATGCGAGAGGTTCACCTGTTCATTTGGATTCTTGCATACAGCACCTTTTAAACTCGAGCGAACTCAAATGTAAACCTGCTAATGTTGGTGGTGGTTTTCTTTTCAGGTGTTTGAGGAGGATCCAGAGGTGCTGGAGGAGGAGCCTCTTGCTGTAGAGGAGGATGCACCCGTTGAGGAGGTATGTGGCTTTTGTTTGTGCATTGCAACATTTCATACTTGACTTATGACACGAGCAGAAAGAAATTTCTTTGTCTTACTGTGTCGTAAAATATATTTATTAGCTGCACTTAGACACCTCCCTTATTTTTTTCCCCCCCTTTAAGTGTGAAGCTCCATTTGAACTGTTCTACTAATACTAATCTGTGTCACACATAGGGAAGGACAGTAGTAGCAGCAGGAATTTAGACCTGCACACTGTTAATACTGCTCCTCACAGCCTAAAAAAAACGCTGCTACAATTTTAAAATGTAAATCTTCTGCCTCCTGCTGGCAATCAGTGTTTCACCCACTCTTTTCTACTTTGTATTAGCTTGTGTCTGTGTAGATTTTCAGTTGTCCTGGTCTTGGTAATCCTCTGAGCTTTTGTAAAAAGCAACTGGACTTCTTTTTGTATGAGCTTCAGTTTGTTTTGTTTCTAAGGATTTGTGCTTGTACCATTTATTGCGGTATAAATAGGTGCAGGCATAAAGGAAGAACTCACCCACACTGTCTTGTATAGTTTGACCTCATAATGAACCTATTGTTGCAAATTCACAATTAAATTGTGCCTTCCTTTGTTGCACGTACTTTTGCAGACAACATGTGTAAGTTATTCATTTCAATCATTAATTTATAGAACATCAGAATGTTTTAGTTTCTGAAAAAAATGAAGCATCTGGGAATTTTAAAAAAATAATAATAAAATGAATACTATACAGATAATCATTCAGCAACAGTTTCAGCAAGTAAATTTGTTATTATTGCTCTTCTTATTGTTGTTGTCATTATTTTTTATGTACCACTTAGTATAGTTTCCACTGATTTTACGATAATTAAATTGAACATTTACATATAAAACAAGCACCTAAAGAAGTACACAACGCCAAATGTAATGAAGGAAGACCAACAAAAGGAGGGAAAGAAAAAAGAGTCAATAAACATTTAGCTGACATCAACAACTGCTGTTACTAATTTCAACTAATTAACAATTTTGCACGATTAGGACGCTCCAGCTGAGGAAGAACCAGCAGCTGAGGAGACTGCAGTAGAGGAGGCAGTGGAGGAACCTGCTGCTGAGGAGGAGGCCGCTGCAGAGGAGGTGGCTGAGGCTGCAGAGGAGGAGAGCGCTCCTTCAGAAGAAGCTGTCGAAGAGCCAGCTGAACAAGAGGAGGCTGCTCCTGCAGAGGAAGCTGCTGAGGAGGAACCTGAAGAGGAGGCAGAAACTTATGACGAAGCCGTTGAGGATGTAGCAGCAGCAGCAGCAGAGGAGGAGGAGGAGGCAGTTGCTGCAGAGGAACCTGTGGAGGAGGCTGCTGAAGAGGAGACGGTTCCAGAAGAAGCTGTTGAAGACGTAGCGGACGAAGAGGAGGAGTTGGCACCTGCAGACGAACCTGCTGAGGAACCCGCTGAGGAACTTTCCGATGAACCCGCTGAGGAACCCGCTGAGGAACTCGCTGAGGAACCCGCTGAGGAACCCGCTGAAGAAGAGGAGGCAGCTCCTTCAGAAGAACCGGTTGAGGAGCAGGCAGAAGAGGAGGCTGCAGAGGAAGCTCCTGAAGAAGAAGTAATGGAGGAGCAGACAGTACCAGGTAGGAAGAAAGGAGATACAAGTAAAAGGATGAGGTAGACCAGTGGGATTTAGTGTTGTTAAGATACTCAGTTTTTGACTTGGATCCTCACTTTTAGCCTTAAACAATAGTTTTGCAGATTTGCTTTTTCACAGAGAGTTCGGGTAAGTGTTTCCATTTACTGTTCTTCAGAGGCAGAAAAATGCTGACAGGCAGCAGGGGAGCGCTTCATTACAAAACAGAGTGCCCCATGATACATGGGTTTGGTTTCAAGTGTGACGAGTCCTCCGCATATAACTGGTTACCAGAACAGGAGTGTTTGTAACAGCAACACTTTCTAAAGAGATTTTTAAATAGAAGCGTGCAGAGTGGCTGCAGAAAAACCGCACAGGGATGCTGAGAGCAGCGCTTCTTTTCAAAGTGGATGCATACGATTCTGCTGCGGAGAAAATAAATGCTGGATGGACACACAGCTCAATAAATGTCATAATAATAATAATAATTAAATAACTACATTTTGTAAAGTCCTGTGATTCCTTTTTTTCACAAGTTTATGATTAGACTTGGTCACTCTGCTGACAGTTTGTGTCCAGTGGATGAAGAACACTTTTATCAGTCAGTCGTAACTCATAACTGAACTATCAGCACTGATTAAAGTTCAGGAGGCTCATTTGACCTCAGTGAAAACTTAGTGTGCTATTAGTCCAGTAACACAGATTAGAGAGGACTTTATTGTGGTTTCCTTGCTCTTGAGTACGTTTGCTGAGGTGTTACCTAAACTGTACGTACACTGAACATCTGGAGTGCTTGAGCTGATAACGATGATGTTTTGGTGTCTTTACATATTAAAATAATCTGATAATTGTTTCTGTTTTTAGAAGATTACAGTTTTTCATGATTTGAAATGTTTTTATTTTTTCCACAGTCACAGAGACAGAAGAAGAAGAAGCAGCACAAGAAGTAGAGGAGGCAGCAGAAGAAGGTGATAAACACACTCTTGACTTCTACTAAAATGAACCATGTTTCAGTGTAGATACATGTCCTGTATATTCAGACGCTTTGTGAAGGATTTTTCATGTTTTTTGTTCTTACCTTTGCCTGTGTTTTCCTTTTTGCAGCAGCAGAGTTTGTTGAGACAGAGGAACAGATTCAGGATGAGCCCACAGGTAAACACTGCTTCTAATAAACCTCGAGAATCAGTCCTGTCGACTTGCAGTGTACGGCTTTCTCTATAATTATTCTTCATCAGAATCGGTTTCAGGTTTGAACATGTTTGGCTGAATTACTCCAATATTGAAACTTGCCAGTGTGGAGCGTAGAATAGCTTTGGTGTTTGAACAGAGTCACAGGCTGGGACTTCATAGATCTGCACATGGTCGAGTCAACAACAGCACAGAGTTGCATTTAAGCCATTTTAAGGAATTAAGAAATTATTTTCAGAAAGAAAACACATCAAAATATGTAACTTTGATACACAGAGATGAGTTTTTATGGATTAAATCAACGACTAGTAAAGAACCTGTGCTCTCATCGTGGAAACTGATGAAATATTATGCAATACAAAGGTAAAAGCTACGACCAGGAGAGCTGTCAACGTGGAGCTGATAGTCAGCTGCACTTTGGCTGTTTTGACAGAAGAACACATTATCTGCTCTTTTTGTTACTAGAAAGCTTGTCAAAGGCTAATTATTGATTAATCCAGCAATCTGCTTTCTTTGTGTAGGTGTCAAAGAGTAAAAAAACAAAAAGTGCATTTTTATTTCCTGCATCCCAAGCTGACATCTTAAAACATCTTGTTTTGTCCAACCATGAGTCCAAAGATATTTAGTTTACTTTCACATACGACGATAGAAGCGTTAAATCTTCTCGCTTTGCCTGCAAAAATAACTACAGTGATTATTTGATTGTCTAAATAGTTTCCAGTTGTCTGTCAGTGCAGCTGTATTGACATATTAGTTCCAAGTATTACCTGAGATTGTTTAACCTCAGTTACACACTGAATACAATGACGAGATGTCGGCACTCAAATGACAAACTTAAGCAGCAAACTGTGGAGTTCTGCATAGCAAGCAGCATATTTGCTGCTTATTTATCTCCAGAAACCCACCATGAACTGACGTTATCAGAGCGAAACGGTATCCGTATCATTCACACGTCAGCACTGATTAGTTACACTGGACACAAACAGGTGGAATGACAACAACAAAGCGACGCAGACGGATGGAATCCAACCTGCTCAGGTGAACACTGAACATCATTCTGTTTGTTTCCCATAGAAACGTAGAGGCTGCAGTGGTCGCCACGGTGACGGAGCAGGGACCCACTGATGCTGCATCAACACCATCTGAGCATGCTCAGAGCGATGATGCATCTCTCCACCTCCAGAGAAGCGATTGAGTCGTCATGACAACACTCGCCTCTCTCTCTCTCTCTCCCCCCTCCTCCCTCTGTTCTCACCCCTCTGAAACCTCCTTTTAGTGTAAATGTGTGAGATGATGGATGAGCTGTTTACTAATACGGTACTCCTGTTTTTACCCTCCTTGTGTTTCATTTGAGTTCTTCTTCCTCCCTATGTAGAACACCTGTTTCCATTTTTGTTCAGGGTGTTTTAGTTGTGTGTGTGTGTGTGTGTGTCTGTGGCCATGTTTCCAGGCCGTGTGAAGTGTGTGTGCTGTGTCCGTTACAGTCGGTCTACCAGAGTCTTCTGAAAGAGCTGTCACATCAAACCAGTCTACGACTTTTTTTCAGCTGAGTAATTTGGCTTCCTGGAGCGAAACTCTGTTGCCAAGCAAATAGAGGCCAAAGTTGACGTCTAAAGACAAATCAGTAGTTTCATAACAGCCTCTAAGTTAGAAGACTCTGGTGTTAATGGGTTCAGAAGCTTCACACTTTTAAAGGCCGCAGCATCAAAATCAGAAACCTCACTGTGAACACTGCAGAATGTCTCAGCTGGTGTCTCCTTTTACGTTTTTGTTCTCTGAATCAAATCATTTGTGCCCCTTTATTGCAGCATTGTTGACAGACGTAGAGAAGCAGCTCCACAGCAGTGGAGATTCTATGCAAAGGTGTTGTGATGCGTGTCACCCGCCTCCCCCACCCTCCTCCCCCAGCCACTTCAGTTACCACTCAGTATGTGTGGCCTCCAGGATGAGCCATATGCACATGAACTCAGAGAGAAAGCTGTGTGTGTTTGTTTGACTGTGATGTTGTTAAGTGTGCGTTGACAAATCTTCTGCTAATCATTCCTTTCTGTGAGCCGTAGTCAGGATGTTAGATTTGTGTTTACCTCCTCTTCTTCTTCTTCTTCTTCTCTGACTATATGAACCTCTGTGTGTGTGCTTGTGTGTGTTCTGTAGATTCATAGCTGTTTTGTTTTTTCCATATTTTCTCATTTGATTGCGAGACCATTGAATAAGTTAACTTCAGCTCTTTGAGTTTGAACTGTGATGTTAATGAGGACACCACGGACGGTGCAGAAGTTCCTCTCCCCCCAAACACCAGCGATAGACGGGTCCCTTTGGGAAGCCCAGCATGCAGATTCAATCAGGATAGAAGCATTTTAACCCTGTGTGAGCCAAATAAGAGCATTTTGTATCCAGACTCTCCTTTTTTTTTTTTAAAGTCTGGCTCACAGAAGGTTAAACAGATAAGGCGCCATGTTCCTGTGGAGATCTAGATGTTAGTTTTTACCATGCGTAACT